TGGCAGCTGCTTTTACAAGAATGTGAGGCACATTCAAATGGTGTGCGAATGGTGTATTGTATTTCCCGAGGAGGCACCGTGTATAATGACCCCTGCTCCATCGGCTGATTAATAAGATGTTCAAGTGGCCCTTTGGCTGTCGCGAATATTTAGACGTGTGCGTGTGCGCGTTCGGAAGTCGGTCAAGGGTTTTCAGGTTAGAGAGTCGAAAACAGTTGGCTGTGAAGATGCATGACGTTGAAGCAGCGGGTATCGAAAGAGGAAGCCGGACAGCAATAACGGCTGCCTGCTATAAATGCCCCATAATGAACAATCAAATGAGTACTTTCGCAAAACTTGACTTCTTAAGTGCGTTCCTGGGTATCTTCGGCGAATGTAAGGGAGAAGAGGAAAAGCTTTCAATATTGTCTCAGTGTGAGGATGAACAATGAATAATATCAAAGGTAAATTACACAAATATTATATAAACAGCTCTTCTGGCCGCTGAGGCACTAGCCAATCCACATTTGGGTTTGAACTTAATAGCACAAAAGAGCATCCGCCCGCCGGATGAAGTAGATAGTAAACGTGCAGTATGACCGTCCGACATACTTGCGGGTATTTTAATGATTTTTTTTTACCATGACGAGTGTCCAATAACTGAACGAAAATACGCCTTAAACTTTATGTAAGTTTTTGCGCATGTAAATTGCAGGTGTGCGCGGCTCTTCGCGCCACGGACTATACTAAACTAACGCCAGAATGGTATGCTGGACAGCAGTTAATTTGATGTAGACAACCTCCTAATCCCCATTTTCTTTTTTAGCTAACTAAAAAACAATCTATAGTAATAAATGCAATACTTGAAAGCGTCGAAACACCTGCTAGTCTGTTGATCGTTCATCCTGCATTTTATTAGCTGCACGTTTACCCGTATCTTGTTTTAGATAGTCACTAACATTAGGGGAATATAATGAAGTGAGGACTAGTGTGCTTCTTAGGGCGGCATAACCTACTATCTGCTGTGCAGCATGGATTCCGTAGAGGCAGGTCCCGTGTGACAAACTTGCTCTATTGTTTGGGGCGTTTGACTCAGGCAGTTGATGGAGGAAATCCGCTTCATTTAATCTATAATTATTTTGACCATGCATTTGATTGCGCCCCATGTCAACGACGCCTATACAAACTCTGCCAAACAGACGTTAGGAGAATTTCCTGAAGTAGATTTGAAGCCTCTCACACTGTCCATGTCGGCGACCAGCAGTCGGCGGAGGTTGCCATCAAGAAGACTGTTCCGCAATGCTCCGTTCTTTACCCTATTCTGTTTATTTTTCACGCCAACAACTGCATCGGTAGACTGCATTATGATGTCACCATGTCTGTCGATGAAAATAACTGTTGGAGTGTCATCCAAACTGCCGCTGACGGAGAGAAGTTGCAGAGGAACCTGAACCGATTCTACAAATATTTGGAAAAGTGGATTTACTATTCAATGAGAACATGTGCAATATTATACGGCTGGGTCGAATCAGCTCTCAAAGCCCCATGTTTTACTGCCGGGCTGACATATCACTGCAGGTAGTGGACGCGCAGAAGGACTTGAGAATGTGAATAATGAGCTCACTTAAACCCTGCACGGTTCAAGAGTAAACAAGTCTGTGATTTTAGTTTTGTGCCTTGTCAATTGGAATTTCCTACCTATGACCAGGACTGCGTCACCTAAGTCTTTGGAACTTAAGTGAGGCGGCAACTGGGGTTTGCTACTCAATCTTGGAGACCCTGGGCCGCAAAGATCTCAACGTCCTCAAAAAGGTGCAAAGGCGTGCAACCAAACTTATGACTGAACAGGGTTCACTGTCCTCTAAAAACGGCTGTATAAGCTTCATGTAATTCCTTTGAGTTACAGGCAGCTACGAAGGGAGCAGATAAAAAATTTCGTATCATACACGGTCAGACCTGCTTACTTATCCCCAGTGAATTCTTGCAGTTTGCAACAGTGACGGACTTAAGAGTTCATCAATTCAAACTACGTGTGTCTGGGACCAGGCTAGATGCACGAGAGTTCTTCTTCGGCAGCAGAGTGGGGGGAGCATGGAGTACCTCTAAATGTTTTTTCCGCTTCCGTTGGGGTTTCAAAGTGGAAGTTCAATCAATATGGTAATGCTCTCGGTAGTGTAGACGCCCGATTAAACATTATTTTGTTATAGTATTGCTCACAGCATTTTAAATTCTGATGAGATCTAAATCCTACTAAGAAGTGACAACCACGTGAGCCACCAACTTATCGACTAACCGTTCCCATGCCCGCGGTACATCAATAAGCACAATGGTCTGCAGTCCTTCCATACTCTGTACTGAGACCTTGCCTAAGTAGGGGGATCGGTCACATGAGGAGGACGTGGGTAACCAAAAGGTTCCATGAAAGCGAGCTAAATTGCCGCGTAAGTATCACGTCAACAATAAGGATGCTGCAATTTTGGACTCGGTCGCGGGCTGTTAAACACTTATTGCAGCACCTACAACCCCCGCGGGATTACAAGTTATTGCTAATTATGGCTATGGCGATACCATGGTATAAAGCTCAAGCATAACTGAAATGTGCGCTTCCAAATGAAATTACTATATGAAACGTCAAAATTCTGTCCTCAAAGAACGAAAAAATGTCAACGCAGGTAGCTGATATTACTTCAGATGTTACGATGCTAGCGGTTTTCAGAGAACTTAGACAACCTCTAAATCATACCACCAGCATAGCATTTATTTAGGAGAGGCAGAAAGCTTGGTGGGCGGAGTAAAGAAGTTTCTTTTGGTTTAGTTCAGGTTGAAAACTTCTCCTGAACAAGTTACGAGTAATGCGTATCATAGGAGGCAAACTTATTGACTGTATGCAATTTTTTCCCACCTCTTTACCACTCCCAGGTTGTTTGTCTAGTGCAAAAACAATCAGGACGTGCAATTTATCAGTAATCATGCACAACAATTGGGCTGTGATTATGTATTACTCACGGAATAACTACAAATCTACAAATTCATGCATTGTGCTTCCACCGAGGCAAACTTCCTGCAAAACCTTCTTTGATTTAAAGAGTGGTTCCGCCGATGGCTCTTCTTGTTAAACGCTAACAAATGTACCATGCTGCGTTTCAAAAGTCGAAACCATGGCATCGGTACGTACACCTACTACATGAATGAAATACCGTCCCGAAAAGCAGAAACACTGAAGAATCTTGGCATTGGGAGGAAAAAACCGTAAAATCTTCAACAAGTTGCGGTAAGGTAGCTGAAGTCGTAACTTCAGTTATGTACGTAAGCGAGCGGTCATTTACAGTTTTCGATGAAGACTGTTTCTCCAAAGCTTTGGGAACGTTTATAAATCATCCAATCTGGAAAATCTGGACGCCACGTAATTACAATGTAGCCAGAGGGATCTAAATGCAGACAACCAAAATTGGTTGGAAGTCAAAGGGCAGTAACTTGTGTAATCCACGTGACTAACCTGAAATTTCCATCTTCACAGTTATAAACAAGTGCGCGGGACCTAATGCAAATGTTCTGTATCGTGCGTGGTTTTAACTGGACCATCCCGTGTGGGTCTTTTTTTCCAATTCG